CTTAAACCGCATAAACGCATTTCATTACACCAAATACACAAAATAATGTTCTTTTTAGCAACATCATATGACCCCTTTAAAGATCTTAAGTATGCTGCAGTCTCACATAATGACTTAAAATGTTTGCAATGATATATTGTGTTGGTTACATTTTGTTCCTTTGTGCTTTTTTGTTCCTTTGTGCAGTGGCTCAGGAGATGAGTCTGATTCTGTAAATCCTCAACAAACTGAAAAAATAGTTTTATGAGGTAATGTAAGTTTTTTGAGGTAATGTAATCTTGTTAAAATGGATTTCATAAAATTGGTATGGAACCGGTATCAAAGTCAAGGTATCGGTATCGATATCGTACATTTTTGAACGATACCCAGCCCTAACTACTGTTACAAAGTTTGGGGTCAATGTTTTGAAAGAAGTCTCATCACATGATCCTTCAGAAATCATTCTAATATGCTGATTTGGTGCTCAAGAAACATTTCTTATTATTATCAATGTTGAAAACAGCTGTGCTGCTTAATATTTTTTTGGACACCGTGATACTTTTTTTTCCCAGGACTCTAGAATAGAAATGAATAGAAAATCTAAAAGAACAGTATTTATTAAAAATGGAAATCTTTTGTAACATTATGAAAGTCTTTACTGTGGCTCCTGACCAATTTAATGCATTACTGTTTACTGATTCCAAAATTCAAACAATAGTATATAACATTTCTGTGTATGTGAAGAGCAGCATTTGCTGTTAGTGTTACCATAGTAATGAGAAGCTTGTGAATCCTGTCAATGGCCCTGTGAAATTAACCGACTAAAGAAGTTAGGAAACTCAGCTTGACACCACAGTGCATAAATGTCATGTTTTTAACTACAATGGAAAGGCAAAGATGTCTTTCGTTTGATGTTTCTAACTTAAATTGGTGGCGTTATAAACAGTGTCCTGGAACTCTGTCTTGCGTAAACATATTAATTAATGTAAATGGGTCAGTTTTGATTTACGGAAGTTGTTAACACACTATGAGGCTGCATGTAAACATAAGTACTCTCTCTCTCTCTTATAGGACATGACGGAGAACAGTAACACTCAGTTAGTGGTTAAAGCTCGCTTCAGCTTCCAGCAGACCAATGAGGATGAGCTTTCTTTCAGCAAGGGTGACATCATCAGTGTTACTCGCACAGAAGAAGGGGGTTGGTGGGAGGGATCCCTCAACAGCAAGACAGGCTGGTTTCCAAGTAATTACGTCAGAGAGGTTAAAGGGTCTGGTAAGTGTCAGTTTGCTATGGACCGTTATAAATATGTGACCCTGGACCACAAAACCATTCTTAAGTGTCAATTTTTCAAAATTAAGATTTATGCTGAATAGCGGAATAAATAAGCTTTCCATTGATGTATGGTTTGTTAGGATAGGACAATATTTGGTTGAGATACAACTATTTGAATATCTGGAAGTGCAAAAAAAATCTAAATATTGAGAAAATCGCCTTTAAAGTTGTCCAAATGAAGTCCTTAGCAATGCATATTACTAATCAAAAAATTAAGTTTTGATATATTTATGGTAGGAAATTTACAAAATATCTTCATGGAACATGATCTTTACTTAATGTCCTAATGATTTTTGGCATAAAAGAAAAATCTATTATTTTGACCCATACAATGCATTTTTGGCTATTGCTACAAATACACCCCAGCGACTTAAGACTGGTTTTGTGGTCCAGGGTCACATATAAGGTCACATATAAACACAGTCTTCTCTTGATCCACAGTGCACCATTATTAAAACTCTCTGTGTCTTTACAGACAAACAAGTGTCTCCTAAATCTGGAACGCTTAAAAGCCCTCCCAAAGGTTTTGATACCACGGCTATCAGTAAAACCTACTACAACCTAGTAAGCACATTTCAATCAGTTATCCTTTTCAGGGGTTACCTGGTTGATTTGCTTAATTTTGGAGGTTTTGTGCATGAACAGTAATCAGACTCGGTTGATTTGTGAATGAGCACAGCTGATTTGTAATCACTGTGTTAAAAATATCTTCTCTAAAAATAACTGCTGTTTGTTTGTCTTCAGGTGCTACAGAACATTTTAGAAACTGAAACAGAGTATTCAAAGGAGCTCCAGAACCTTTTGACCAGCTACCTGAGACCTCTACAGATGGCAGAAAAGTAAAATGTTTTGCTTTTCCCTTGAGAAAACACATAATCAATAAAATATAAGAAGGAGATACACAGTTTAGTTTCAAAATTCACATTTATTCTGTGTTCTCTGACTATAGCTGTTGGGATTAATGTGTTAATTTAGTGATTACATAAAAAAAATGTAACCAGTTTTCTTATCATTTGAGATGAAGTAATGTTTTGAGCACTGATTTACAGTTCTCACTGTTTCTCATAGACTGAGCACCTCAGATGTAAGTGTCATTCTCGGGAACCTGGAGGAAATCAGCACTTTCCAGCAGACTTTAGTCCAGTCACTGGAAGAGTGTACCAAGTGAGTATTATTCTAACCGTGAGCAGCCGTGTGATTCCCGGGCCCTCTCTTAATAGCCCCTGAGTAATTTACAACAGGAGGGCCGAAGCACTTAGTGAAACTGAGACTCAATCAAATGTATCAAGTTACGACTCCTAGATGATGAAAATAGACCTGGGCGGTAACCTGAGGTCCATTAAAAGGATTTGAGTATCACTAGAGGTTTCTAATGTTTACACTGACCTCTAGTGGTAAATCCTTTAGTAAATTGGGAAAATGCTAACTGGGTTTTCCAGCAAAACAGTTTATGAATTTATGAATTTATTAACCGTTTATTAATTAATTTATATATTTATTAATTTATAAATTTCAGAGAAAGTAAATTGAGCATATTGAAGTAAATTAATGTTAGTTTTTTGTTGTTTTGTTAAATGAGGAATATACAAATATTTTGTCTAAGATCAAAGAATAAAAACAGACTTTCAATTCAAATAATTCTAAAATAAAAAAATAAATGTTGTATTATTAACTTTATATTGTTATATTATTATAAGTTTTTGCTGGGCCGATCAGACCCTGTTGAGTCCTGTTTGCAAAACCCAAAAATGGATATAAAAAATAAAAGTCTGAAAGTACGCTACCATTCAAACATTTAGGGTCAGTAAGAAAACTGAGACTCAATCAAATGTATCAAGTTACGACTCCTAGATGATGAAAATAGACCTGGGCGGTAACCTGAGGTCCATTAAAAGGATTTGAGTATCACTAGAGGTTTCTAATGTTTACACTGACCTCTAGTGGTAAATCCTTTAGTAAATTGGGAAAATGCTAACTGGGTTTTCCAGCAAAACAGTTTATGAATTTATGAATTTATTAACCGTTTATTAATTAATTTATATATTTATTAATTTATAAATTTCAGAGAAAGTAAATTGAGCATATTGAAGTAAATTAATGTTAGTTTTTTGTTGTTTTGTTAAATGAGGAATATACAAATATTTTGTCTAAGATCAAAGAATAAAAACAGACTTTCAATTCAAATAATTCTAAAATAAAAAAAATAAATGTTGTATTATTAACTTTATATTGTTATATTATTATAAGTTTTTGCTGGGCCGATCAGACCCTGTTGAGTCCTGTTTGCAAAACCCAAAAATGGATATAAAAAATAAAAGTCTGAAAGTACGCTACCTTTCAAACATTTAGGGTCAGTAAGATTTTTAAAATGTTTTTGAAAGAAGTCTCTGATGCTCACCAAGGCTGCATTTATTTAGAAATACAGTAAAATTGTGAAATATTGTTGCAATTTAAAATAACAGAATATATTAAAATTCATATTAAAATGCATTGATTATAAATTGCATGATGCCTTTTTTTAGGATGCTTTGATGAATAGAGAGTTCTAAATAACCACATATATTTGAAATATAAATATTTTATAACATTATACAGTATATATCTTTGCTGTCACTTTCGATCACATTTAATGCGTCTTTGCTGAATAAAAGCATTCATTTCTTTCTTTCAAAAAGTCCTACTGACTCCAAACTTTTGAATGGTAGTGTATCTACAAAATAATTGGAGACTGTAAATTTAAGCTGTTTAAGGTGTTGTTAAAATTGGGAATATAGATTTATATCCTACTGAGGAGTATAGGTTCGGAAAAATCCTAAGCAAAATAATTGAAGAATATTAGCGCAATATTTGTGAAATAATTCTCCTCATTGTTCTGTGATTTAAGGCTTCCAGAGCTGCAGCAGAAAGTGGGAGGGTTCTTCCTGAATCTCATGCCCCAGATGAGGTCTCTTTATGTGTCTTACTGCTCAAATCACCCATCGGCAGTCAGTATTCTCACCGTTCACAGGTATGCCACCATACTGTGGCCTGATTTCACAGAGAGCCTCTCCGCTGAAAACTGGTGATAACTTCTCATTTCTGTCCCTGCAGTGAGGAACTTGGAGAGTTCATGGAGGGGAGGGGTGCATCGATACCAGGCATTCTCACACTGACCTCTGGCCTCAGCAAACCCTTCATGAGACTGGACAAATATCCCACATTACTAAAAGAACTGGAGAGACACATGGAGGTAGAAGAGAGAGTTTGAGCGTATATGCTTTCGGTTAAGGTTTTAATGGTTGGTGGCAGTTCAGTGTGACACTGTGTTCTTTCCCTTTCAGGAGGGTCATCCAGACAGGACAGAAATTCAGAAAAGTATGACGGCTTTCAAGAATCTCTCTGTGAGTGTTAACTGCCTAGTTAGCATGCTAAAGCAGACTGATGTCCCGTGGTTTTGCCACTGCAGTTAGGTGTGGATCATTCTCATGGCAACCAGCCTTCTTAACGTATTGTGTTGCCATGGTTACAGGCACAATGTCAGGAGGTGCGGAAGCGCAAGGAGCTCGAGCTTCAGATCCTGACTGAGACGATTCGTCTGTGGGAGGGGGAGGACATTAAGACCCTGGGTTCAGTGCTGTATATGAGCCAGGCCATGGTCCAGAACCACGGCTGTGAGGTGAGATCTCAATAGCTCATACACCTGATGAACATGTTCTCCCCTAATAGTGTGAATTTTGGGTGTGGCTGATTATTTATCCAATTATGTGACCAATACATTGGTCAAATACATTAATGTCAGCATGAAATGAAAATTCACCCTTTTCTAAATGCATGTTATTAATGATATTGTGAATGATTCATCCATGCATTTTTTTTATAATGTTTCCTGTGTTTTTTTTTTAAGTGGTATCCTAAAATAATTTGCTAAAATAATATTTAAAACATGTTGATGCAACCACGGCTATTAGTAGTGTTCAGGAAGCCTTTTATAATTACTGTTATTATTAATAAGGTTAGATTAAGTAGTGATGTGTTTATGCAGTGGGTTAACCCTTTTAACTGTCAAAAAAAGATGTGTTTTGTGGCTCCGAATTGCATATAATTCATCTTTTTTTTTCTGGATACAAGTTTTGTAGAAAAAAAAAAGTTCTCAGTCGTGTACACCATGGATGGCCAAAGCTCAATTACAGCACACATGCATTAAAAACCCATTATAAGTAAAATCATATTGACAAAAATGGCAATAGTTTTTTACTGTGATTTCAGTCTTACAGTTATAATGGCTATGTGGTATTATAATTAAAAAAATTTTTTTTTAGGATAAGCATGAACGTTACCTGCTGCTGTTTCCTCATGTCTTGCTCATCCTGTCTGCAAGTCCAAGGATGAGTGGCTTCATCTACCAGGTCAGAAACCAGCTGCTGTCAGAACTGATTACTACACAGCCCAATAAATCTCACTGTCCTTGCTCCACCATCCCCTAAAATCCACTCAAACCACAGCTTTAAAAAACATTAAAATGGCACTTTCGGCTCTAGCACAAAGAAAAAACGTCTGCTTTGTTTCTTTCTCTCAGGGCAAGCTACCTTTGAGTGGAATGACAGTGACCCCATTAGAAGACTGTGAAAGTCATAAAAATGCTTTTGAGCTCTCAGGTAAGGACGGACTGACTCACATCTTTTATGTTCAGGACACAGTCAAGTGTTTTTGATCATTATTAGTCATTCATAGACTCTGCTTATGTGTCCATCCAATAGGAAGCATGTTTGAGAGGCTTCAGGTGATCTGCTTTAACAAACAGGATCTGCAGGACTGGCTCGAGCATCTGAACCGACAGACCAAGCACACCACCATGGCGGCTCCCAGCATGAAACCCCTCACTGTTCCCTGCCACACAGTGAGTCACCTATTTAATCACACCTTAAAGGGTTAGTTTACCCAAAAAATGAAAATTAGCCCATAAATTACTCACCCTCAAGTCATCCTAGGTGTATATGACTTTCTTCTTTTAGACGAATCCAGTCAGAGTTATATTAATGGGGTCATATGATGCGATTTCAAGTTTTCCTTTCTCTTTGGAGTGTTACAAACTCTTGGTGCATAAAGAAGATCTGTAAAGTTGCAAAGACTAAAATCTCAAATCCAAAGAGATATTCTTTATAAAAGTTAAGAGTCAGCCACGCCTACCTAAAACAGCTCGTTCTAACACGCCCCCACATATCTACGTCAATATGTGGAAATATTAGCATAATGCTGCCCAAATGTGCACGCAAAGAAAGAAGGCGTGGTTTCAGGAACAGCAGTAGTTTTGATACAGCATTTCAGGGAGACGCTGTGTTTCAGTGCGAAAGCAAAAGCACTTTATTTGGCCTTCTGGAAGTAGATGTAATTAGGAATCATTGGTTAAGATTTATTTACACAAATATTGTCCTAACAAACTATACATCAATGGAAAGTTTATTTATTCAGCTTTCAGATGATGTATAAATCTCAATTTCGAAAAATTTACCCTTAAAGGGTTAGTTCACCCAAAAATTAAAATTAGCCCACAAATTACTCACCCTCAAGCCATCCTTTCTTCTTTCAATAATGATCTTTAAAATAGCATTAAAAAATTGTCTTTGATCTTTCAAGCTGTTTAATGGCACTCAGCGAGTGTTGCATGCATCCATCCAAAAGCAGTTAAATAAAATGCGCCCATCCATAAAAAAAAGTGTACACTTTTTACACAGCTCCGGGGGGTGGACAAAGGCCTTCTGTAGCGAATTGATGCTTTTTTGTAAGAAAAATGTCTATATTCAAAACGTAATAATCACTTTAATGTAGCTTGCGCTCACTGT